AAGGTATCCCCTCAGACAGCGGCGAACAATAGTCAAGATGCAAGTCAACCACAGGAGAACACGCTATTAAAAAGGGGAGGAGTGTTGGGGATGTTAGATCCCCAAAATTCGCTTGATAATGCCGTATTTCGGTTTTCACGTTCGCCAGCAGGGGCTGATCAAATGACCTTGAGATTTCAACTCCCACCAGGAAAATCAATGGCTGTGATTGGCCACAGTGTATTTTAGTATGCTATTTTCTTAACTGTCTCAAGGACGTTGTTATGTTGTATAAATAAACGAGAGTTGTATGCTTGATTGTACTGGGATTGCTGGGTGCTTGTAGAATATACTTCTACGCCTACAAAGTCTTCTATTTCGATTCTGGGTATTCAGGGTAGCCTTCCTGGAAGCTGGTAAAAGTCTCGTTCGCGTTTATCGACTAAGGTAAACTCGTAATAGCGTCAAGCATCCTAAGTGCCGAACTTATCAGGGAGAACTCTTGATTCGACCAGCCCCACTGAACCCACTCAGCATCGGCGCAGCATCTATGGACCTCTCCATCTATTTCGACCCAAAAATTATTGGAAATGTCTGCATGGCCATAAGGCAGATTAAGAGCAGCAAAGTAGCGGGTTCACACAATGACAAAAACGAAGTTGGATTTTTCTAACCTCTTCGTTCCTTGTGAGATGGCAGCATCGCTACAGATGCTGGTTGCCGAGGTAAGCATACTTCCGTCACACTCCTCTGCAAACAGAAGTACGTCTTTGCCCTTAAAACTCGAGTTGCTGCTTTTAGTCTTACCGTTCTCTTATCAACCTGCCTAGCATGGCAGGATCTAAAGGAATATATTTCAGTCGATATGGCTAGGTTAGGTTATTACAACTAGTACGTCAAAGAAGCCGGTACAGTGAGATCAAATGATGTAATAATAAGTGAGTTTACCTGCACTGGGTGTCCTGTTTGTTCTTGTATGTGTCTTCTCAAATCAGTGAGCCGCAGTCAAAGTCAGCCCCTTCGGTCTCGCCCTACCTCACGCTTAGCCTGTTCACCATCATCCATCGTCTATGGTAGTAAATACCTCACAACCAAAATGTTTAAACTCACTTAGTCACAGCTTCACAAAAGGATTCCCAGACGAAGTTAGCTACTAGTGAGTACATGATAATGGTCATTATAGGAATGCGAGGATTGTTGAGTTTCATTAAAATAAGAAACTGATCACTGTTACGTTACCGCCATCACATTTCTTTGGATGTATGGAGGTTAGATAATGACACCGTTAGATACCACCTCAGTGGTCTGCAGGTAAAGTATTCGAGCGTGGGACCGATCACATCGCAGCTCGCGCGGTTTTGAACAATCACTTCCGAGAATTCGCATCCAAAGTGGAAACAGTCATCCATTACTTCTAGTTTTCTAATGCTAGTCAAATGAACTTGGTAGGTTTACAGAGCATCCACGTCTGTATAGTTCGGCGAACTGCTCTAAATCTTCAGCATTATTATTCTCAGTAATTACACATTGATCGTTTATAATGAACACATCGTCGCCTCGTGGTGTGCGCAATAATATGTCGAGCCCACAAAGCTTGTCCCAGCCTTTGTTTAAATTAATTAGTACATTATTCTCAAGTTAGTAATCCCCCATCTCTCTACCTTTTCAACTTTTCGCTTATACCCTAAGTTGTATGTTTTCGAGTTTGTGTGAGGCTTATATTGCCCGTTATACCTCCAGCCTATTTTGTCTGACTCTAAACACTTAATCATGCTTCATCGCTTGGAGTTGGGTCGTCTTTGTTCTCCACACTACGTCGCTCTGCTTATGTGACTTTCATGCTCATGTCTGTCTGCCTAAGTGAATGCACGGAATAAATTCATCCGCAAAACCGTACCTCGAATCATGAGATGAACGCGTAGGGGTAAATTAATCCTCAAAATATTTATTTTTGTAAATCCTCTACATTATCGCTGACATAATTAGTTTAACTTTACACACTCTAATTCACGAATTCACAGCAGATCTTCGCGTGATACGCCGTGCAACACATTAACTAGCAGAGGTTACTTTATTCAACTCTCAATATCCAAACATCATTAAAATGTAACTTCCGGTTTTACTTGATTTTGGATGTACGCTATCTGAAAGTTATGATCCAAGGACTTCAGTAGAGAAGCCGGCATCAGTGACTTCATCGATTCTGCCGTTTGGAGCTAGTGGTGGTAAATCGCCGATTCATCCTCCTTATAATATGGAGAGAAATTCGCTAATCGCATGTGACCAGATCTACGACGTGTCATACATGTTAATTTGGGTTAACTGGATTAAGTTTATACGACGTTTAGGTCATGCTGCGATAGATAGAGGGATCAAGAACCTGAAGGAAGGGTACAGGTACATAGTGAGCTTGATAAGTCATATCCATGTTGGAGGGCGGGTATGCATAAGCTGTAAGTCCTACTTGTTCTTCTGCTGTGGATTGTGTTATGAGAGTGAACCGTGATCTGAGGCATCTAAAGGTTTCTACTTTGTATGGAGGGGTTTTGCAGGCCAGTGTAGAATCCATTTTGAATGCTTTGTTTTGGGAAAATCCCTCCATGTATATATTTGTAATATGTTCTTACTGACTCTTTCTGTGCTACATTTTGCTGATCTGCTTAATTCCATTTTGGGATGTTGATAACTATACTTTCTTATAGTTTCTATTTTTTTTACCTTTATCGGAGTTTCTGTGTTTCCTTCTGAACTGTTTTATGTTGTTTTAATTGATGCTTAATTATGGCTTCAGCCATATCGAATTTGATACCCTGTCGGGTGAAACGTACGTCTGGACTGGAAGGGTGCAATTTTGGACCTATACGGAAGCATTCTTCCAGAATCGGAAACACATTGTGTTAATTTTGACGGAAAACAGTGTAATATTGTTTGGGTTATTATCTGAATTTCATTTTTTGATTAATAATAGAAGCGTTGGCGGATTTTAAAGTAGACGATTCATGTTGTTTTGACTAACTAAGGTTTATGTTGTCTTTTTAATTACATCACATTTCCAGAGCTAGTTTGAGTGCAGCTATTTATTGTATGTAATCACATTATATACTTGAAAGCCTTCAAAAAAGATATCAACGAATTAAATTTAGGTTACATTTAATTATTGATAGCTATGTTCACGTTAATATCCATTTGAGTACCAGTACCTAGAAATCCTTATAGATTTCTATCTGAAATAGTAGTTTACTACTGTACCTTACTTTCGTTAGTTTTTGTTATGCCTAACATTTTATTTTTCGGCTCACAATTACGATAAGAATTCCTGTTTTTACACAATTTCGAATTTTCTTGAGCGGTTATTGCATTTTGGTCAACTATTCGTAAAACCTATCCGTTAATAAATATACCTCGGATCTCTCTGTATTCTGTATTATACGTCTATGAATCCCCCACCAGTCGTAGTGAGTTGGACGTGCCAGTGCAATGAAAGTTTTCTTTTCATGCACAGCTTATCATCAGTTACTGGGCTTGATTTCTTGAAGTTTTGTTCTAACTATTTCAATAGTTTAATGGTAAACTTGTTCTAGTTTGGTACAGTAGCAGATCAACAAAATATCCTCCGACTCTAGTAATAACGACGATCACATCCAACCTCTAAATAATAATAGTACATTGAACAAACGCAAATCAGATGAAATGTCTAGGGATAAATTCATGGCTATGCGAATTCCTAGCGTTAATGATTATTTTTAGTTCACCATATTTTGAACGCTTGAATTTGATGGAGTGAAACTAAATGATATAAAAACATTCTTTCATAATTGTTAATAATTAATAACAGCGAGACACAAAAGGAGTGAGGCAGTGAAAAATTTTATTGTTAGATTCGTTTTCGTATTCATCCCTCTTCGACTAAAAGCGAAAATGTGGTAGCAATTACATTCGGTAAATTTAGATTTCAATCAAAAAGAGATAGCTTTATTGCAGTCAGATTGGTACTAATATTTATAAAATTTTAACTGAATAAAAGAAGTTGCATGACAAACTTAGTTACGTAGAACATAATAAAATTATGCCGAGAAAAATGGGATTCTTAGATGCTTTTTTAAGTGCGTTGCAGTCTAGTCATATTGAATTCAATGAACGTGATCATAACAGACTGATGCCTAACAGTTTAATCTGAATTAATAATTTAATAATCTATTGTTTCCAACAATCTGTGTTCTATGACATTTAATCACCTCTCCTCTCTAAAAAACCCTTCATTGTTTAATTATTTTACCAATTGTTATTACTTGATTTCGATAAGCTTTAAAAAATAACATTTCATTGTTAGTAATTTCTCCTCTAATTTTTTACTCATTTATTATTATTAAAGATCAATTCAAATATTTACTCTTCTTATTTCAACCAGCACACTAATCATCATACTATAAGGCATGTTCATTTATTGATTCTGCTTTTTGTCATCAATGAATTGTAAACTAACTTGATCAGCTTGATAGGTCTATGTATGTAAATACATATTGCTACTTTTTAGAGTAAAATCTGTTCATAGCCAAGTGTGAGACAATTTTGTTTGCTTACACACGTTTCTCAAGTAGGAGACTCATCGATGATACGCATGACGATCTCGAAGTCTCAAAGTGTGAGTCTTCCAAACAGGTTCACTGAAAAGTTCAATACTGAGACAAAACAACCTTTCAAGACTTCTATATTTCGAATAATGATCTAACATAGATCAGTTCTTGATCGTGAATATATTCACTTATTATGTTCTTGATGTTTTTATAAGATCATAAAGATTGTCATAGCATTAACACTGATTTATTTCTTGTTCACTAATTTATTTCTGTGTCATTGTAATTTATGATTCATTGAACATTTATATTTTATTAGAGTTTTCATAATGTTTCGTTTAACTACATTTAAATTTATTTTTCCATTAGAATTTATGACATGTATTCATTTTCATGTTTTTCCAGGTTGCGTTTTGTCTAAAACTGGTGAAAAAATCTGCCTAACAAATGAGTGAAACATCAGTTACCAGAAGTAAAACTGTTACAGAGTTTGGTTGTGTAAAGTATGACGGTAAAATTGATCGATATATAAATGAACATTCGTTACGTTTATCCGATGCTCAAAAATGGTTATTGAAAGTAATGTTTATCATCATCATTATTGAGTAACAATTATATTCTTTTTCAGAAAACCAAAGATCATCCTCACTCACATTACATGATATCAAGTCCTGAAATGCAACTTTTATGCAATATGTGCTATGCTATCAATGCTAAAAAGATAATTGATATTGGTAAATACTTATATATTTCTGCTAACATATATATACATATATATATATATATATATATCAAATATTTGTATGCTATAGATTTATTATGACTTTTATACTATTTCTGAGAAATTCACATCCTTTCTATACTTGTGAACATTTATTAGAAAGTCAATTTATCATGCGAGGTTTTTGTCAGTTAATCAGTGATGTATTGCCGATAAGCGTAAAATGTCGTCAGCTACGCTGTACATAGAGAGTTCTGTGAATCAAATAACCAAAACTGAATGACAGTTCTTCATTTCATCAACATTTTTAATTATTTTAAGTACATCTTATTAGTTGAGAAGTGGAAAAGTTCACTGAAAATAACAAGAATTCAGTGGTTGACAGGTGATGAGTTTTTCAAGATTAATGATGGTCCATTTATATGGGACGCCTAATTTTGGTTCCAATCACACAAAAGATTTATGATTTCTACTACAGTTTATAGACTGTGAATAATTAATTCTGTGATTGAACGGTGGGTGGATGACCAATCATGAAACCCAAACATTTTGTTGATTATTACTACATTACAGAGAGTTTCATCAAAGATAATCAGTACTTCTATAATGATCAACGGAGTATTTAGTGGAGTTAAATTCATGTTAAAAACATAATCAAGCGACAAACTCTCATTTTCAGAAAATACGGAACTTAGATGTTTTTGAAGGCATACCTATAATAATCGAATACTCAAAAAACCCACCATGAACTTAGAAAATGAGCTGCGCACAGACTTTAACGAAACGATAGCAAGCAAATTGTGGAGCAAAGGTTACATGGAGAAACAAGGCCAGGAATACTCAAGGGAAATATTTCTGAAATATAGATCCTGTGAAAAATTCATCAACCATAGGAGTTAGCTAATGAATAATTTTTCCCATACTAAAAAATATCCTCAAGATTACAACGGAATTATCTATGCCACTATCGAATAAGTCCAGTCCATAAACTCACAGAAATACTTGAGTCAGTATTGTACAAACCAACGGCATAATGACAATCAAAAACAAAGAAAGCACCCGATAAATTGCGGTCATATTATAGATAAATCTGAATTATTTCGAGTGATAAATCGTATACCTCCTTCATTTCCAAATGGAGTTCCATCCCGTCTTCAGCGTATAGCAGAAGCCATAGAAATCCGAATATTCAATCCCAGTTTATATGTTCAGAACAAGCAACGAGTTAATGATGACTGCATTTTGGTAGCTCAATTTTCTTTGAAATATGTTCTAATCATGTTGTTCAGAAGGACAATTTAAGTTTAATGCATGTTCATCGAAGTTAGACATTAATAGCATTGGATACCGGCTTGGTAGTTAACAGGTTAAGAGTTTGTGCGTGAGACTGAAGGTGCTGAATAGAATTTGGGCCATACTAGTACGAAGTAGCCGTTTAGTGCTTCCAAACTTCTAATGGACGTTTAACATTGATTGGTTCATGCTTTCTACAAGTTGTATATTTAACTAGTTTCAACGTCCTCAATGTATATACTTTATCATTCAATTGTTAAAAAGGATAATCCGAATGTTTTATCTTTTAAAAATTCTTATGTATAGGAGTTTTTACTGGATACAGTACATTGTCTATCGCTGAAGTGTTACCATCAGATGGATATGTATTAGCTTTAAATTTAACAGATGAATTTTTGAAAGATTATTGTAGACCAGCTTGGAAAATGGCAGGTGTCGAGTCAAAAATTGATTCTCGACCTGGTATGATAATTCAAACTTTACGTAAGTAAAATATAAATGTAACATTTTAGATAATTTCACTTGTTTTTTATTCATTGATGTAATGATATAATCAAGGCAGGAGATGAAATTTTGTAGTTCCGGTTAACATTTCAAAAAATGTACCACATAGTTATTTATTGTTCTTTAGATATTTAAACGAACTGTTGTTGATCAATTGCCAATGTTTCAAACGATGATTGTCCTATTTATAAATTTGAATAAAACGAGAATAATAAACACAACAGAATAAAATGATTTCATTTTATTTTACAGTTTCTTCATCCGTTGCTTTCAGTCTGAAACAGATTAGTAGTTTCACTAGCACTATTGACAAAGATGCAAATAACGCCCTAAGTTTGCTAAAACTCAAACTTAACAACTAGAACTTGCAGATATCTCATCATAAGATCAAGGTATTGATCATATGCAAAATCAGTGAACATTACTCAACAAGCTCAGATAAAACATTAACTAGCAGAAGTCAATTAGTTTGACTATCTACGGCCTATAAATAGAAATCATAGTACCTCGAACAAAGTAATCAATGCAAATATAAGGAAAGTCAAAATAGTGATGATCAAAATTAGATCATTACTGCGATCAATGAGAGTTAGAGTTGTTGACACATTAATCAAACTGGTGGGTTCTTCAATAACCCCCATTTTTACCTATGAATTGAAGTGGTCCTCAATACCGAGAAGCGAATGATTCTTGGCCTGAATGACAAAAAATAAGTTACTGTTGACCAACTTACAATATAAAGCGTTGAGTAACCGACTGAACAATAAGTTGCAAAATAGGCTCAACCTATAATATGATGCACACAAAAGGCCAAATACGTAAGGACAGGATGACACTAGGAAGTCTTCTTCGACACTATAGTGTGTATGAGGAGACAGTCAACATCATACGGAACTCTTAAGACAGACTACATTGCAAAGTGGTGTATGGGGGACAATAACACATCTTGTTCAGAAACTGAAATTCAATACAAAGCTAGTATTTACGGACATTTATGGTTGAAAATTAATAAAGTTTTACAATCTAATTATTGACTTTCGAATATTTGTTTTAATTTTCTTCTCTTACACTTTCAGAAAATTTGATTGATAATGGACAAAGTGAAACATTTGATTTCGCTTTTATTGATGGTGATAAAGAGGATTACAGTAAATATTATGAATTATGTCTGAAATTGATTCGACCTCGTGGTATAATTGCAATTGATAATGTAAGTGCTTCATTTCATTGCATTCTAAATGATTGATTTCATTGTGGACTGTGTGAATTATGTCTGTGTGTGCATGCGAAGACATTAGTCAACAAGAGTGTAAAGTAACTGATGAATAGAATTCGATTTGTTGCATCTGCTTTTTCAAGATTCATTAACTTGAATTTGTTATATCCGATAAAGACTAAATGAATGATAACTGCCAGAATTAATTTATAGACTATTGTGGTGGAGATTGGTTCTGTGAACTGGATGTCTTGTTGCCTTGCATCAGAACTGTCAAATTCTTCGATGAGCTTTTCTCGACGATTGACTACAGCATGTCATAGAATTGATCTTTAACATCTTCATTGTAGTCGTTGTTAGGTGCAGAGCATTGGATGATGACGTTCAATGTAGTGCCCTCTTTACTTACTTTGAAGGATGCTTTGATGACCCTGAGTCCATGAGATTCCCATCCTGTCATTGCCTTTTGTGCTTGTTTAAACAGCATCAATGCAACCACTTCTGTTTCAGGCATTTTCTTCCACATGGCCAGAGTATAGCACGAGCTCTCTTGGGCTAGTCTCAGTTGTCAAATCTGTGTCCAGTGTGCTCTAGAGATTCAACTTCCACCAGGTTGTATATTTTCATTTCCATAGCGACCAGAATAGTTCTTCAGGTCTCCTACAATTTGTGAACATTTTCATGTATCTATACAATCGGTTCTTCTGGTTGTGAGGAGAGGAATCGGACAGACAGTAGAAATCAAATATTGTATAAATCTTAACTGAACTGTTAACGAAATCTCGCGTTGAGATTATACTGAATGTTTTTTTCTCAAAATAATAATAATAATAATAATAATAATAATAATGTCAACTTACTAATCACGAATGAATAGATTACTTTATTGTTAACCTATCATACAGGTCAACTTCGTCGTCTATTTTATGCGATATGCAGTGAAACGTATTTAGTAAACTATATCACGTTAACAAGAACATTATTATTGTTGTCATTATTAATATTATCATTGATTAATTAAATGTGAAGATGAGATGAGAAGAAATGTCAAATGATTCATGAATAAAATTCAGGCATCTTCATATCAATATAATTGCATTAAATGACCATTTGATAGAGCTACTGAAGGGAACCACTGTGTAGTCGACTTCGACTAGTGTTCATTTCATTCCAATTTGTAATGGTTGATAGTATAGCTGAAAAATGATTAGTCTTGGCTGACATAAGATTATCGTATGTGAATTGCTTCGATATAACTGTCGTGATGAAAGTCTACATAGAATCGATAGAATGTGTCTGGCGGTGGAACGCCAGAACGCTTGTTTCATCCTATTTGGTGATGGCTAGTTTTATTCCGAAATTAACTGACTTGACAGTTCAGAGTATGAATTTTGTATCATAGGATTTGTGATAGATAATTATGAAAATGAATAATATTTACTTTAGAACGTATGTGATGATTTTAATTATATGAAGTTTCCCATTTACATGTGTCATTAAACGATAAGTTCGTTTTCTATTCAACTAATACTGAGTAATACTATTGTAAAGTCTAGAAATGTTCTGTGAGCGAACTGCGCTGCTTAAACAAACACGATGGCGTATACTGCATAAACGCTGTGCAATCATTTGCTTTCCGTACGTTTCGAAAACAGAATCAATTAGAACAAAGACTGCAGCTGCAGACAACAATGACGGTAGAATACTCTTTTTTTAATCTCTGCCAAACTATGGAACTATAGACTTCATATAGTGAGGGATGATCACTCTTATCTGAAGAATTCAACGGACAGAGCGTGGCAGAATCTAGCGAATGGACGAGCAATAATAACTGACTCACTGGATTAGTAGGCATTTACGCGCAATGATCGAGGCTCTTGGGTTTGATTCCTGCGAGATATAGGAGTCGTGGTGCTGCACTACTGATAAGTAGTCCCAAACCATTAAGAAACGGCCTCTACGTTTCTAACGATGATCTAACATTGATCGATTCATGATTTCAAAAAGTAACTCAACAATCTTCACTTACATTTTATTTCTTTCAACAATATCATACAATGATAAAATTAACAATAGAGAACATGAAACTAGTTTGAAACTAGTTTAAAAATTAATTTTTGGATGTGTGAAATGATCTCAGTTCAAGAGTTCAAATGAAACTTTGAATTAGTTGACATGTATATGTATACGTATATATGTCTCATGCATTATTCTAAGAATGAATACATGATTGTGTCAATTCTAAAAATAACGTGATGATTTAAGAGTATATACATAATAGACGATGATTAGTTAACAACAACAAGTTAATAAATAGGTCATGAATAAAAATTATTCTATATATTGAAGTCACGTTTTTGTAATATATAATGCTTAAATTGTGGTGTTTCGTTCTCTGAGCTGGTTGTTTTGGTTGTGGAGCTTTCATTGTTCTTCTGGCTAAACAACATCATCAGCATAAACTTCAGATAGAAGTGAAGCATTCGAATTTCTCCACATTTAACCTGTAGCTTGTTCTGACACAAGATCAAGAATCAGATCAAAAAGGGGGATACAATTAAAACAAAGTTGCAAACAGCGACAGGTCAAAAGTCAACAGCAAACAATCAACCAATCGAGGTTAGCAGAACAAGCTACAGGTCAAACGTGGAGAAATTCGAACGCTTCACTTCTATCTGAAGTGTATGCTGATGATGTTGTTCAGCCAAAGAACAATGAAAGCTCCACAACCAAAACAACCAGCTCGGAGAACGAAACACAAGTTTTCTCCACCATCTCACAATGCTTAAATTTTTGCTATATGTTCATTCTTTTTTTTTTATAAGGTTGTTTGGTCAGGTCTTGTAATAGATGAGACAGATCAAACTTCGCTTACAGTTGGTATAAGGCAATTGAATGATTTAATAGCTGGAGATAATCGTGTACGAATTTCTTTATTGAATATCGGTGATGGATTGACAATTGTTGTGAAGAAATGATTTAAAAAAAAACAATATTCAACATTCAATTTAACAATATTTACATTTTTCTTTAAATTGTAGTTTTTTTATATCAGTAAAATATACAGTAATTTATTTATACAAAATGAATTACCATTTCTGAACTAGCATAGTACTGTAGTGATTGAGAACACAGGTGAGGCAACCGAATTGTATTTAACAAAAATTACAGAGTTACTCAGTGAAATAAGAAAACCATATCGTAAATTGTTAATTTGCAAAATATCAGTTCATCATACCGAACTGGACTGTTCCTGTTGCAAAACATCAATCCATTGTCACTATTCATGCGTTTCATACAAATTCCATTGTGTTCCCACTCTTCCTTTCTTGATCTTCCCCGCCATCTTCTGCTGCCAGACATTACGTTGACACTCACGTCATATACTACTTATAAGTAACTCGCACCACACTACTACAGTCCATCTATACTTTGCGAGCATTAATAATTAAAAGTTCAATTTATCATATGAGATTTTTGTGAGTTAACAAAATGATTTATTGTTTATCTAAGCGTATTATTTATGTGCAGTTACGCTGTAGATTGTGGGTTCCGTGTATCGTCGGATCATCAAAACTGAATTGCAGTTCTTTACTTCATCAACATTTTTTTTAACATTTTAAGTTGATATAATTGTAGTGAAGGAGAACACAGGTGAGGGCAACCGAATTGTATTCATCACAAATTACAGAGTTACTCAGTGAAATAGGAAAACCATATCGTAAACGGTTAATTTGCAAATCTTCAATCAATCATCAATCCATTGTCTGACATTTCCCTTATTCATGCGTTTCACACAAATTCCATTGTGTTTCTACTCTTCCTTTCTTGATCTTCCCCCATCTTCTGCTGCCAGATATTACGTTTTCACTCGCGTCATATACTACTTATAAGTAGCGCGCACCACATAATTAGTCAGCAAGTGAAAATGCACTGCAAATATCAAAATTTTAAAACAAATTTTGAATATTTTTTTTCATTATATGTAAGCAAGAAGATTGCAATACTTGATATATTTGACCATTTAATTTTTATTATATGGTGAGAAACAGACTATTTTTTTTATGGCTATAAGTATTTCGAGTATCGACTCCACCTGGATGCACTGGGTGTCCTGTTTATTCTTGTATGTGTCTTCTCGGAAGTGTTTATTTACAAATCAGTGAGTGGCATTGGAACTCAGCCCCTTCGGTCTCACCCTACCTCACGTTTAGCCTGTTCACCATCATCCATCGTCTTTGGCAGTAAATACCTCACAACTAACATGTTTAAACTCACTTACTCACAGCTTATCAATAGGATTCCCAGACGAAGTTAGCTACTAGTGAGTACATGATAATGGTCATTATAGGAATGCGAGGATTGTTGAGTTTCATTAAAATAAGAAACTGATCACTGTTGCGTTACCGCCATCGCATTTCGGTGGATGTATGGAGGTTAGATAATAACATCGTTAGATACCTACCACCTCAGTGGTCTGAAGGTAAAGTATTCGAGCGCAGGACCGATCCCATTGCAGCTCGCGAGGTTGTGAATAATCACTTCCGAGAATTCGCATTCAAGGAGGAAACAGTCATCCATTACTTCTAGTTTTCTAATGCTAGTTAAAAGCAGTCGGTAGGTTTACAGAGTAACCGCGTCTGAATAGTTCGGCGAAGTGCTCTGAATCTTGAACAGCTAGCATAAATATTCTCAGTAATTACACATTGATCGTTTACAATGAACACATCATGGCTGACATAATTAGTTTAACTTTACACAGTCTAATTCACGTTATTTGGTCACACATCCAAACCAGATCATCGTTGGGCATGCCGTGCAATACATCAACTATTGTGCTTTGTTCATTCAACCCTCGATATTCCGACTATCCACGGAATAAACCTTTAATCCTCCTTCTGATTTCTGGTTTGATTTGACTTTGGGCGTACACGATATGAAAGTTGTTACGGTCAATAACGTTGTCCAACTACGAATATCCACGGCATAGCTTAATGGGAATGTACAGCTGAAGTGATCAAGAAGAATAAATTACGAAAGTGTGTACGTAGAGGGACTCTCATAGGTTACCAGGCAAAGCTGAAATTTATGATTCTACAGTCAATTAGAATCGTTTGAACGAATGTTGACTATATATGTTAACGGTATTTTTCACTGATGTTCATTGCAGATTTTTCTGCCCTGCTTTTAGCGGAGATTAATCATTATGAAGAGCGAACGATTCATTCTTGCGACTTCTGTGAATTTACTTTAATCCTGAGTAGATCTTCATTCTTCTATATCATTTACGAAGGATGTCTCAGGTTGTAAGCACTGTGTTTTATTCTCAGTATCAGTTACAGGCCTGATAAATGAGATAAATACATTAAACAAAGCAAACTCCTACCTTAGTACTACTGATAAAAATTATTCTGACCAGTCTCTTTTCAGTTCACAACTATCAAATGTCTGAAAGGCATTACGGATGAAATCTCAAAGGCTTGCAACTCGAAAATTCATGGTCTAAGTGCTAGTGAACATTTCTCTACAGGCAGATTGACTACCATTCTTGAATGTTTGGAAACACTAGGGAATAAATGGCTACCGCCTCCTTAAAAGTTATCGATTCCCATCTCCATGCCATCTATCTCTCCATGGCTTTGAAATGAGCGACAATAATCATGACAAGCATTTGGTTGCAATGTTTCGAATTGTTTTTAATAAACTTTTTATACGTGATCTTTGTTATAAGTATGTACTTCGCCTGTGTGTGCATCTCAGTGCACCAACACTGCTTATCAGCTGACTAGTGCTTAACCTGCCTGAATTTTGTCTCCTTCACTCATAGTAGTTAGCAAGATGCTTCATGTATTTACCATGAAGATCTGAGCTCAAACGATTCAGTCAGTCTATGGCTTTTTGGAGAAAGCTGAAAATATGTTTTTACTGAGTATTATTGCATTGTTGTGCGTGAGAGATTGTGCACGCAATAAAAATCCTACTTACACATAACTCCATAAACGTGTCACGTTTATATAAAAAACACTCAATCTCGCCTTTCTCATACAACACCTGAAAAAGATTTAAATCTGTTACCAAAGTGGAGAAAAATAAACTTTTTAGGAACAGTGATCCATCCGTAACGTACTCCAATCATCCCACTGGCTAACTAGAATTCTACCATGAACTTGAACACAAACTCTCTTTACCTTGTATCTCGCTCAATCCTAGTGACTCCACACCATTCACTACTTCCTGGATCTCATCCCAAACAGACATTGGCGTGCACCTGTGATAATGTTTGGCCTCTTCTAGTTGTATAACTTTTATGTCTGGTCCTTTTGACCGACCACCTTACACATTGTCCACTGACTTGACTTACCCCACTCTACCTAATCCAGTGGATCTACGAAACGATCCGTTCGTACGCTCTCTAGCGACTTCATCATCTGTTCTTAGGGGGTCAGCAGTTAACTTTGCCGAACGACATTTATCATATCCTACCTCACATGCTTCCCTCACCACGCCAGTCTCTGAATACCTCTCTCCCACTAACTATATTACTCACAAATCAACTGACTATAACTATCAAGCCTATATTCCTACTTCTACCCCTTCTTCTGAAAACACAGCATACAACCCACCTGATGCCCATCGTGCTTCCCTGAAAGATGAGTATTCATCCTATGTAACACCACTGCTAATTAATTCCTGAACTATAATCAATAGGATGACCCACTCACGCCCTCTGGTAATTCTAAACAATCATTTCCTAGTCCCGATTACCGGAGCCATTGTCCTCCGATGTCTCTAACTCATAACTTCTAACAGACTCTTATGAACTCTTCGGCGGTGACCGAGGCTCTAAAAATGGTGGTGGTTGCCTCAACTATGTGTGTAGAAACATAAAAGCAGAAATATTTAGTGATACTGTTCTTAATAAAGTGCCTGATTCGATATGGTTCACTGTGCACGCCCATGAATGTAAAATACTTATTGGATGCATATATCGAGCTCCAAACATTCATCGATCGATTGACATTGCTATTGGTGAGTCGTTTGCCAGGGTTGTCTCTCTTAAACTATTTGTGGTGACTTCAACCTCCCTGGAATCAACTGGCAGACACATTCCGGTTCACTACGCTTTGATAGCATACTTAGTCCCTTAGACACACATGGTTGGCAACAACATGTGCATCTACCTACTAGAAACCACAACATTCTCGATTTGGTACTCTGTCACACAAATATCTGTGGCGGTTTGCGAAAAGTTTCACAAAAGTGACCATAAAATTGTCCTTTGTACCTTAGGGTTTTTCGCTAAATGCGACAAATCTAAAACAGTAATGCGTTTTTAATACAGAGATTATGAACGTGCTGACTGGGACAGCTTCCGGGTTCTAATTCAACACTCCGACTGGACTGCGTTCTTTACTAGTCTTGAAATCCTTGATGCATAACATATATTCAATGTCACCATTAAATCTGCTATAGACACTATTATCCCTTTCAAAACAGTTACTCCTTATATCACCCATAAAGCTAGGGATGAACTAGGTAAACTAAAACGGGCATATTCCATATCTAAGGACTTCAGCATTCTGTACCAAATCAACGATGAACTTGAAGGTGTGAAAAAGCAACATGAAATGCGTCAGAAAAAAGAGGGGTATAGTGCACTCGCTGCTTCGAGTAAGTCCCAAAACCTCTGTCGTTTGCTTAACAAACGCATAAAAAGGACTCAGATCGCGAAATTCATTCTATACTACTTAATGTACAGACTTATTATGACGAAACTGTTATTTGTGAATTGTTTAGTACATGGTTCTCCCTCAATCAGAACACATCTCTTGACTCTGATATTAATATTAACTGTAGCATTAAGAATAATCTCTGTACCATCAAATTTGATCTTAGCAATATCCAAGCCGCCATTAAGACCCTCAAACTCAATGACAGCTGTGGTGCGGATGAGATACCTTCCATACTTTTTAAAATG